GCACTCATAGGCACGCTGGAAGGAGGCACCAATGGTGATGACCCCACATGGACCCGACATCTTCAACTTCAGATAGGTGTAGTTAGGGACGGCCATGAACTTCGCGTAGCATGGATGTCCCAGGATGGCGTGGTAGGTCCCATGGAACCCAACCACCTCAAAGGTAAAGGGTCTCCGTCCTATAATTGGTTAGATTCCTGAAGGTGACGAGCATATCGATCTACCCAAGTGGCATGGCTTGCTTTCTAGGTATGATGCCATGGAAAGGCTCCCCGGTCGGTCGGATGCGCGATCGGTCGATGCCCATGGCGTCGAGCATTTCAGCGTACATGATGTTGAGGCCGTTGCTTGCATCTATCAGCACCTTGGTGAGCCACTTCATGCCAATGATTGGGTCAACCACGAGCAGGTATCTCCCCGCCTATGGGACGCTTTTCGAGTGGTCAGTCCGATCAAAGGTTATGGCGGACTCCAACCATCGGAGGAAAGAAGGCACGGCCGGCTCGGCCATATAGACCTCGCGACGCGCAAGCTTCTGGCGGCGCCTGGAGTCATAGGATGCCGACCCTTCGAAGATCATGAGACAGCCATTGAGCGCCGAAAATCTACCATCCTTCCCCTTAGCGTCGTCTACTGCTAGCTTGGGCTCCTTCCTATGCTCCCCCTTGTTGGAGCCTCCAGACAAGAACCACTTCATGAGGACATAGTCCTTGCATAGGTGCTTAACGGGGAAAGCATGGTTCAGGCATAGCCCTTCGAGTAGCTTCTCAAAGTGGTCTGGGGTACCCTCGGTGGGCTTCCGACCCCCCTTGCGGTTGGCAGTGGCCACGAGCGAGCCCTCGCACTGCTACTTGTTCTTCTTCATGTTGGGGCAGTTGGAGGCGCCTTCGCTGGTGTCCTCATCCCGCTTTGCCTTGCCCTTGGGGCGGTCGAAAATTGCCCCGACCGCCTCCTCGTCCGAGGCGTGGCTGGTGGCGATGCCGAGGAGCTCCTTGGTGGTTCATGGGCCCTTACATCCTAGCTTGTGAACAAGGGACTCGTAGGTGGTCCCGGACAGGAAACCTCCTATGACGTCGACGTCGGCGACGTTGGGCATCTCATTGCACTACTGGGAGAAGCACCAGATGTACCCACGAAGAGTTTCTCTGGACTTCTGTTGGTAGTTTTTGAGATCCCATGGATTCCCAGGATGCGCGTATGTGCCCTGGAAGTTTCCCACGAAGATCTCTTTTTGGTCCGCCCAACTTTGGATTCGGTTGGGCGAAAGGTGTTCCAACCACGTTCGCGCCGAATCGGCCAGGAACAATGGAATTTTGCGGATAATGAAATCGTCACTATCCACTCCATCGGCTTGACAAGCAAGCCAATAATCCTCGAGCCACAGTCCGGGGTTTGTTTCCCTGGAGTATTTCCGGATGTTGGTCGGCGGTCGGTACCGCGGTGGAAAGACAGCTCTGAGGATGTGTTGGCCAAAGGCCTGAGGTCCCGGCAAGTCAGGGCTCGGGCTTTGGTCCTTGCCGCTATCATAGCATCCGCCACGATGAGGGTGGTAGCTGTGGCTAGCCTCCTCCCTCTCATTGCCGTGGGCACGCTTACGGGCATCCAGGGTGTCATGCCCGTCACGGTGGAGGCCAAGACGCTCATGCACCAGGGCTGCGACGCATGGCCTGCCTCCTTGCTGCGCCTGGTGTATTGACACGTCCATGTTGGGTCATTCTGAGGGCATGCACTGGCTGGCGTCAAGCTCGCATCATCGAGAGAGCGAGATCTCGGCCTGCTACGCCGCCGCATGCTCAAGTAGCGTGCGAATCTCACGATGGGCCCAACGATCCTCGTGCGTTGTGGGCTCCGGAAGACCCCAGAGCAAGGCCGCTGCGGCAGCGACGTTCTGGCTTGCCCGGGTGAAGTGTGGGAGGGCTTCGTCGTCCTCGATGATCCTTCGGTTCATGTCGCGGCCCATGGCGCGCGCACGCCCACCGTCTTTGTGGCGCTCGATCTCTCGCTCGAGCTCCGTGCGTTCCTGCTCGAGCTGGAGTCATGCTTCCTTGAGCTCTTGGTGTCGTGCCCTCAGCTGCTCTACCCGTAGGCGAGGTGGGCCCCCTGCGTCCCCCTTGACCTTGTCATCGAGGTCGTCTGTTGGGTTAGCCCCTGCCTCGTGGATGCGTTCAACGTATCCCTCAGGGGTACCTGCCATAAAACATTCTCGCGAGGGATGATGGCTCCCCCTACTGGTGTTAGAGTCGGAGGGCCACTCCGATTCTCCCACCAGAAGGTTGTGGAAAGATTCCACGACGTATTCGGTCATCCCCACAAACTCGTCGTCCGTAGGGGATGGGGTGTGTGCTGCGCCACAAGGTGGCCAACGGTTTCTATGGCGTTGCGTAGACTGAACGGGAGTGCTGTCGGGGCACTCCGGATGAGGCATTCTGGGGAGAGCGACTCTCTTCCGGCAAGCTACATCATGACATTGGCGAACGAGAAGGTGAGGCGGTACAGGTCCTCCGGGATAGTCTGGGTCCTAGGAAGGCACCGAGTTGGTGCTCTATCCTCTCGTAATCGAAACCGAGGAGCTGGTTGCTCCCGGGGGTGCGGTCCTCCGGTGCGTGCAGCTGCAGCTCCTCAAGCACCTCGGTGATCGCGTTGAGGCCGGTGGAATTTAGAGGTTGGACGGGGACGGGAGCCCGCACCAACTCTCCCTCCGTCGTGACGATGAAGTCCAGGTTTTTGAAGCGCACGTGCGGGCCCAGGACCCAGCTGACATCGTGACTAGCCATCCGAGGCCTGATGTGGACGTCGAGATGCGCAAAAAGCCCCTACCTACGTGCCAACTGTCGGTGTTTTCGGACCATCAACAAGTAAATTTGCATTTGTGCGTCTGGCTCCGATAGTGTGCTCGGAGGACACAAGGGTTTATACTGGTTCGGGTGGAACGTCCCGACGTCCAGTTCGTTGTTGCTCGTGTTACCGATACTTGGTTTGCAGTAGGGGTTACAAACAGGCGGGAGAGGGAGATGATCCCAGGTGTCTGGTGGAAGAAGTGAGTGGGTGCTGAGAGCTCGCTTGCCGCTCAGCCGTGTGCTCGTGTCGTGCTTTAGTGTTCTGATTTCGTCCGTATCTTGATCCCCCTTTCATGGGGCACCGTGCTTCCCCTTTTATAGGCGAAGGGAAAGCGCGGGTTACAACGGAGGAAGAGGAGAGGAACGGGAGAGAGAGAGAGAAATGCTTCTAGGGTCGTCGGGTCCTTCTTCTCCTTCATGCAGGTCCCGCCGATCCTGTAGATGTCAACAGGGACGGCTCCACGTCGTGGCCCTATTCGTCACTGGCACCATGCGCAGGCGTCATCTGCCGCTCATGGCGTCCCACTCCGTCCCGGCGGAAGTCGTGGTGAACTGACGCGCCTGTCAGCGTCCGTACGAGGGTTAGGCAGAACAGCACCGGCACACCCGACACTGTTCTTGATGTGAATACCCTAGTATGGCCCGTCATGGCCGTGAGTTACATCGAGACGTGCCAGTCTCTTCCCTGGTGTCAGATTTTTTATCCAGGCCCGTACGCTTGGACTTGGTGTGGTTGGCGGCGGTATGGGTCCCCGTTGGACGAGACAGAAACCGCGTCCTTGGGGTCGGGCGAGACGGAGACTACGGCCTTGAGCGAGACGGAAACCACGGCCTTGGGGTCGGCGAGACGGAGCCCGCACCCATGGGGTCGGGCGAGACGGAGCCCACGACCTCGAGGTCGGGCGAGACGGAGCCCGTGGCCTTAGAGTCAGGCGAGACGGAGCCCGCACCCAAGGGATCGGGCGAGACGGAGCCCGCGGCCTTAGGATCGGGCTAGAAAGAGCCCGCAAGTAAGGGGTCCGGCGAGACGGAGCCCGTGGCCTTGGGGTCGGACGAGACCTTTTAATACGTCTTGCTCCATTCAGCAAAGTCAGCGTGGGCGCTAACTTCCTTGCTTTGGGTATCCTTAATTTCGATACCCGACACTTCTCCTCTAAATCCATGTGTTGTGACTCCTAGCCAAAATGACATGGAATCAATTTGTAAAGCTTTGTAGTGTGGTGATTGGATTCAGTAATGTCAGTGGCCTCGCTCAGGCGCCAAAGCCTTCTGACACCGCTAACGATATTTTCTTCGTTTTAAATTATTAAATGTTTTGACTTTTCTAGATATATTAATTTTGTTATGCACTTAGTTATATAGTGTGTCTAGATATCTAGATATGTAGTCAAATAAATATATCTAGACCAGCGGATGAAGAAGAGTGACTATGGCAAAACATACGGCACCAAAAGTAAATTGCGCACTGCAGCGCCAAAGGCCGTCACACTTTCAAAGGAAAATCTCCCCTCGAGGATGTACTATCTCGGTATCTCCGTCCAAAAGGAAAAAAGAATTTATACAACATATTATCAATACGTGTATCTTCAAAGATTTCATATAAAAATGTATTTCATGTTGACCTAATAATATTTATTACATATTATAAATATTAGTATCTTTTATACATATTTAATCAAATTTTATATTTATTGATTTCTCAAAGAACAAGAATAACATTTTTTTAAACCAAGTAAGTACCTGAGCAAATATGTTTATTGAATAAGAAAGAATAAAGCACCCAAAAAAGAGAAGAAGATCACACCCTTAGTGGTGTGCGTGATATGCGGCGCAGACCGACTTGACCCACCGCGGCTGCTGCTACTGGCTAGCGCTAGTCGCCTAGTCTCCGGCGACGACCTGACCCGTCGCCGTCGCCTCTGCCCGTCAACGTGAAGTGTCCCGCACGGCCACGCCGAAGAACACGGCTGCGCCGGCCACTTATCCTTTGTGCGCAGGCAACTTGCACGAGCACGAGCGTCTCGCTGTCGCTCATTCTCCCGGCTTATAAGCTAAGCTACCAACAAATACCTCTCGCACGGCCACGGGCCAAGCCATAGCTGTGACAAGAAGAACAGAGTCGGTGTGTGCGCGTGCACGCGCTGACGCGCGCGAGCGGCGGCCATGGCGAGGACTCTGCTCCAGCCCAACTCCTACACCGGCGCGCCGGCGACCTCCCTCCTCCTCCTCCTACTCGTCGTCGCCGCCGCCGTCGCCGCAGTCGTCGTGTCTCTCTGCACCAGCGCCAAGAACGCGAGGCCACGGAAGCAGCGCCGGTCGTCCTCCCTGGCGCCGGCGCCGCAGCAGGAGCAGGACGGCGGTGGCGCCGGCATCAGCAGGAACAAGCAGCTGCTCGCCAGCCTCAGCGGCATCGGCGTCAAGGCGGCCACGGTGGCCAAGATGGTCTCGTGGAACCGGCGCTCGCCGCCGGCGAGTGGCTGGAGCAGCGGCGACGATGACGTCGGCCCCGACGGCGACGGCACCGCGGAGGAGGAGGCGCTGTGGAAGAAGGCCATCATCTTGGGCGACAAGTGCCGCCCGCTCGAGTTCTCCGGCCACATCACCCACGATTCGGACGGCAACCCGATGCAGCCTCAACCGTCGGCGATCAACAAGGGCGACGATGCGGAGGCCGAGGGTTAGCGAGCGACGGAGAGGGTGCGTTGGTGTTTAGGGATTGGCGCGTCAACTCGTACTTGCTAGTAGCTGGCTAGCCTGGCCGTGTGTCCACGGATTTTGGGTAGCTGATGAAGGTGTTCACTTAAAAAAAAAACTCGGTCTGAGGTGGGCAGACAGCCCCTGTAGTTTTTGCGCTGGGAAAAAGATCTCTTACGCAGGTCGAGAAAATCTCCGAACCTCATGCCCCGCCCTCATATAAGGGTCCGTAACCCTGTGAGTGGGCCGAAACCTTTTTACATGTGGTTTGGGACACGGGACAGGCGAGGGTTTTTTTTTCTGCACAAACTGCGCATTACCGCAGCTGTGCCCGCGGCAGCCAGGAGTCGAACCCACTTACACCTCGATCGTTGAATCAAAGTGGCCATGTCGTTTTTTTTTGTTTCAAAATTCGGCAAGGGAATTGCAGTGCTATCTATTATCTAATCTCTTGTAATGCTTCCGGTTGAAAGAACTATGTATCTGTCCTTCCGAATTCCGAAATGAAATCCATGTGGGGATTCTCTCTCTCCGTAAATTTTTTCAAAAAAGGAAAAAAAAAAGATTATGAACACCTATAAAAAACAAAAAATATATTAAAAAAAGCCCCCAAAAAACGAAACGACACTAGTACTAGCTGCTAGAATTTGGTCCGGCGGAGTGCAACCAACAATATGATGGGTCTACCTATATCACTGCCGGTTCACAGATACACCCGGATCAACACAATTAGTCATTAATCGCAATTCACAAATACCAAATAGCATATAGTCTTCCATTATTTTGGGTAAAATGTTAAGTCGCCTAATACACGAATTATCAAAGTAAAATTGGGTTTTGAGACTTACTATCTAAATAGTGAATAGTGATATAAGTCTGATTAGTTGGAGTTCTGATCTTGTGTTTTATGCCCACCCCTGGCGTCGAGTGTCTTGAGGAGCAACATTACAACGACAAGCATTCGAGAGCATCTTCTCGACTCTCGTGAACTTTGAGAAAAGTTAGGGTTGAGATTGGAAGGATTAGGCTTCCAAAAGCAAAGCTCACTAAACTTAGATGGATTTAGAGGAAGCCCATGGTGTTAGGCCGGTCCAACGAATGAACCAGTGACTGGGGTCAAGGAGGGGATGAGTGTGAGAATGATGATGGTGGTGGCCTCTTGGCTCTTATATGCTTCTATTTGAGGTGCTTAGAGAAGAGGGTTGAACTGCAAAATATTTGGTTCGGAGCATTGCATTGTCCAAGGGAGTAAGGTGAGTAAGCAGCGCCTCGAAAGCCATTCCTGGCTTTAGGCACAAGCCACTTTCTCGCTCATATACGGTGAAAGCCATTTTCTCTCTCGGTTTTGGTGTTCATATGCTTCTCTAGTGTCAACTAAGTTAGCAACACTTTTAGATATGCTTGCCCCTATTAATAAGTTGCTCATATTTCGATATTTTGCACATATATTTCTGCCTCAGGGAGGGGTGAGATGTGAGGACAAACATAGCAGGAGACAGCCATTGTTACGAAGCTTGATGAAACCTTGCCTCGAATGTGTGTAGGTGTCTGCTAGTGGGATGGGGCGGGACAACTGATCATATGACATAATAAAGAAGACGATTAGGGGTTGAAGAAGACATATGGCCTGTTGTTGGTGCACACAATCCAGACAACAAAAGATGTGCACAAGTTTGAGGAAAGAAAATAAGTGTTGGCTCAATTTTCAAGGAAAAACTAGAATGAAAATCATATAACTAGAGGTGTGTGTTTCTAGCAAGTTTGGTACAATGACTAATAACTCGATTTCTCTACCTGATCAGGCATGCATGCCACACTAAACTCGGTAAAAAATGACCCAACCAAACAACTCAATGACATAACCACTTACTCTGGACTATATCACAAAACCCAGTTGACTCAACTACCGACTCGCACCACACGTCCACACCTTGCTCTATAATCAACACATCTCCTTAGATGTAAAATGACTAAAATAGGCATGATTTGACACTATGTCTGTTATTACCATGTAAGCTAATTAAACTCCAAAAGTCACGGTTCACGCAAGACCCATGGTAATATATAGATGCAAGCGCGGAAATACATATAGACAACCACACAAGGAACATATACCAACATAGTATCTATATGATGCAGTAAAGCATTTTATTCACAGGTCGTAGCCAACGATGGTGGGTGCTGTTAGAACTATAGGATCATCTAGGCGCAGATCTAACGGGTGCATACTTCTATTCGGGATAAAATGACCTAGAGTACGAACTGGAGCGAGAGGGATCGAGAGAGAGAGAGGGGTAGGGATGCCTGACCATCAGCCTTGGAGGAAGAAGAGTCCGCCATGGGATCGGTGGCGAGGTTGGCGATGGTGTAGGAGTAGCAGTAGCGCCCCTGCGGCAACGTAGACGTCCTGGCGATGGCGAGGCGGTGAAGTAGGGATGAAAACGATACGGATATTTTCCGACCGTATTCGAGACCGAATCCGTTTAAAGGGGTTCAGATATGTTCGTATCCGAGTCCGGATATTCAATATCCGATACCGTATCCGTATCCGAATACTCAAATCGCATATTTATGATGTCGATATCCAATCATATCCTATCCGATATGGTTGACACTATCCGTATTCGAATCCGAATCCGAACAGAAATATGAAAACAAATGTAATATTAATGATATCCGTTCGTATCCGATCCGTTTTCATCCCTACGGTGAAGAACGGTGGCGGCGCTTCCCGCCACTGTTGCGCACCCTTGATCGGTTAGGGTTGTGTCGGTGCGGTACTGTGGCTACGGTGAACCTCGTACTACGAGCCGTCGGCCCCCACCTCTTTATATAGCGTAGTGCGACGGGGCCCACCAACCATGTAGGGTTGGACGCCCCCGATCAGAGCGCGGGATCAAGGCCCAAGTTGGCCGTTGGGCCAATCTTGGTGGAGAGATCAACCTAACATTCTCCCCCTTGAGCTCACCTTTTGTCTTAAACTTAAAATACTTATCTCTTTTTCTCATTCCATCATAGATTAGCGCATAGAGCGTGCCTCGTCACAACAGTTAGTACCATTGGATTAACAGCTACAAAACACCTCTCTGTCTAGGAATCATAGGCTTTCCCATAAAACCATGCCAGCTAAGTGTTCTCTGAACACATTGGGTGGTAAGCCTTTTGTAAGCGGATCCGCAAGCATCTTCTTTGTGCTTACATGCTCAAGACTAATAGCATGATCTCGGACTTTGTCTTTTACAACATAGAACTTTATGTCAATGTGTTTGGCAATATTACTTGACCTATTGTTGTGAGCATAAGTTACTGCTGATTCATTGTCGCAGTATAACTTGAGTGGTTTATGGATGTCGTCAACCACTTTCAACCCAGGCATAAATTTCTTTAGCTAGTTCACCTGCCCCGTGGCCTCATAACAAGCTACAAACTCGGCATACATCGTGGACGATGCAGTGATGGTTTGCTTGGAGCTTTTCCATGATATAACTCCTTCTGCGAGAGTAAATACATATCCTGATATGGATTTTTTATCATCTACATCTCCCATAAAATCTGAATCCGAATACCCTTCTAAATGTAGGGAATCAGACCTTCTGTACGTTAGCATGAGGCATTTTGTGCCTTGCACATAACGCAAAGCTTTCTTCACCATTCTCCAGTGTTCTATTCCTGGATTACTCTGATATCTACCAAGTATCCTGGTAACAAAAGCTAAGTCAGGGCGTGTACATACTTGAGCATACTGCAAGCTTCCAACAGCCGAAGCATATGGAACCGCTTTCATTTAATCGATCTCATATTGGTTCCTGGGGCATTGGAATTCCCCAAAACTATCACCCTTGACTATAGGAGCAGGTGAAGGCTTACACGCATGCATACTGTATTTTTTAGAACCTTTTCTAAGTATGTCTTTTGTGATAATCTAAAACTCCCTTTCTTCTATCTCGGTGATTCTCTATTCCTAAAACAAACGAAGCTTCACCGAGATCTTTTATGTCAAATTTTGAGGACAAGAACTTGTTCGTCTCCGGTAGTAGATTAACATCACTACTAGCGAGTAAGATGTCATCCACATATAGGATTAGGAAAATGAATTTATCATTCTTGAACTTTGTATAAACACAATTGTCCTCCACATTCTCTTTAAACCCAAACTTCCTTATCGTTCTATCAAACTTTAAATACCACTGTCTAGAGGCTTATTTTAATCCATAAATGGATTTCTTCAGGAAGCATCCCATATGTTCTTCTCCTTTTACGACAAAACCTTTTGGTTGTGCTATGTAGACATTCTCATCTAAATCCCCGTTAAGGAAAGCCGTCTTTACATCCATCTGATGTAATTCTAAATCATAATGCGCCACTAACACCATTATGATTCTAAAAGAATCATTGCATGAGACTGGGGAGAATGTCTCATTATAATCTATTTCTTCTCTTTGCGTAAAACTTTCGCCATAAGTCATGCTTTAAATATTTTCACATTCCCTTTGGAGTCATATTTAGTTTTGTAGACCCATTTACAGCCTACTATTTTGGCTCCTTTAGGAATTCTTTCTAAGTCCCAAACACCGTTGGTACTCATTAATCTCATTTCATCTTGCATGGTTTCAAACCACTTTGATGAGTGAGCGCTTCTCATGGCTTCTTCAAATGAGGTAGGATCACCCTCTATTTGAAATTCTTCACATTCATAGACTTCGTTGTCATCAGGAATGGCTGGTTTTCTAGCTCTTTGAGACCTCCTGGGGGCCTCATTAGTTGGCGCTTGTTTCATATGGGGCTGTTGTTGCTCTTCCTTATGTGCGATAATGGGTTCTATAGGATCCTGAAGAACAGGTTTCTCATGTTCATTTATTGTTGCCACGGGAGAACTAACAACAGGTGCTGTCACTATAATGTCTTGTACTGTTGGTGCAACAACAACAGGTAGCGAGAAAAATTGATCCTGAACCATCGGAGTGGGCACGTATACTCGCTTCTCCTCA